TCTCTCTCTCTCTCTCTCTCTCTCTCTCTCTCTCTCTCTCTCTCTCTCTCTCTCTGTGTGTGTGTGTGTGTGTGTGTGTGTGTGTGTGTGCTGTTTTTCGGTTTCTTTTCTTCACACGTGTCCCATTACTACTAATTACATTTACAAACTATCATCGAAAAAAAAATTCAAATTATTGTCAATATGCATTTTCGGTGTTTGCTTTGTTGGACAATGATTCGTTCAAATATTTCAAATCAGTTTATTTTTCGTCACTGTTTAAATTTGCTTTTGCATGAAAAAAAAATCTCATGCGATGAGTATGTATGTGTGACATAAACGATAGGTGGTTAGCAATTTCCGTGTTGAAATTCCGAAATCGGCGTCAACAGACAGGCGCTCGATTCGCTTTCAATGGAATTATTTCCAAAAGCGTTGTTCAAGGTAAGAATCATCACTTGCAATCGTCGTGCAGAATCAACTGACACACACACACGCACACACTCGTTTCATATCTGATTTACAACTTGTTTCTAATTTTGGATGAAATAGAATTTAGATATTTACATTTTTTGTGTAGGGGTTATGCTCACAGCTGTACCATCTGAAACCGAAAAATATGGTGTGTGTTTGTTTCTCTTCGATTTTGTTGATTGTTGTTTGTGGTTCACTTTTGGTTCATAGCATCATACATAGAGCCACAGACAATTTTTATTGTTACGAAAATTTCATGAAGCACGCAAACCGAGTAGTCCATTTTTTTTTTTAATTCTTTTATTTGTACGAATCGCATTCGATACACTTCCTGATAAAAATAATTCTTTGCAATAAAATTGCACTCAAGCTTTTATCGTTTATTATTCGTCTTCAATTATCTCAGTCCGTTATTTTTCACTTATGCGTACCGCACACAACCTATCTGCTTAATGATCGGTCGTATCTGCTTTGTATTTTCCCTCGTTGGTTGTTGTGTGTGTGGTTGTGCCTCAAAAGGAAAACATTTAAATAAAATCCTTGTACCTCAGTTGTATGTATGCCCTCTGATATTTATGTGCACTCATGACCACAGAGAGATTTTTTTCAACCAACAGACTGATCATAATTTTGCACTTGACATTTAGAACGAAAAACAATTCAACTTCGGTCAAACTTTTATTGATCGACTATTTTTCACACGAAAAACTAAATGCACAAAATCAAAACTGAGAACACAATTTTTTTTTTCTGCGGTATTTTTGAATGATTAAAAAAAGAGCAAAACGTAACGTCGATTACGCGTACCTTGATGGATGATCGAATGACTGTGGATTAGATGGAGCGCTTTTGATGAATGATCATCGGCGGTCGCAATCACAAGAGGTTGTGTGAGAGACGATATCGTCGATTCGATCACGTTGTACAGCCGAATTCGATAAACACATGTGAACAAATGACCAAATAGGTGCGCTTCCAGTTTGTGGTATGCTGTATGTTTAAACCGGAGACAGTTTTGTTGATATATTTTTTGTTGTGCTTTATATCTTTCCTTCCTTCTCTCGATTTTTTTTTCTTACATTTTTTCGGTGTATTTCTCGCAACAAACTGTTCCGTACGTATCGATCGATGTGCAAGCAATTGTGCGAGCCGTACGCGATGCAGGTATGAACACAAATGAAATCAAATTATGAAGAAAGAGAGAAAGAGAAAAAAGAATACGTAGAAGCCGAGGTGTGTGCGTAGCAAAAATCACGTTCGATGTGTGTATTCGTCGCGTAGGTCAGACGAGAAATGAATTAATGAAAAAGTTTTGGCGGCATTATCTTGAGTGTTTCACGTCGTTTGTTTTAAGATGTCGAAAAACCCAAGTGCTTGTGTGTTCAAACAGCGGTTTTTTTTTGTCTTCTTCTCTGTTTTGTTTTTGCTCATACACAATTTTACAACCACACAATGCAAATGTGTGTATTGTCAATGGACACCAGGCGGCTCAATGGGGTGTGTGTAATGTGTATATGGCCATTATAGAATATTTATCATTGTTAAACGTGATGCTGATTATCGTTCTGTCTTATCAAATTGTTTTATAAAATCTACTATTACGAGCTCGTGGCAATGCAGCATTGTAGCTAAAATGCCAAAATTAAAATCGATGATAAATGCACTTTTGGTTATCATTGTTGCCATTTCAATCATTCTGACTACTGGGTCTGAGTTTGTGACGGCTTCTCTTTTATTTTTTAGCTCGTCTGTTGTTTATTGTTGTTGAATTTGAATGATCGCATATGATTTTTACGAGTGACAACAAAACATCATGTGCTCGAAACAGAAATAGAATCGAAAAAAAATGAACGTATGAATGACATTCAGTCTATTTTGATTTACCTAAAAATGGTCGGCTGGACAATATTGTAAAGTATACAAAGGGTGTGTACGGAGCAAGTGTGCGCTAAATAGTTCAGTGAAGGTGATTAACATGTCAATGCAAATATCATAAAATGAGATGATTTAATTCAAATGTGATGTGTAATGAAGGAATCACGTAAAAATGTAAACAAATCGATACTGTCATTTTTACATTTACTCTCAATATTTGAGATGTGCCATATGATTCACTCAAATATGCAAATGAAGCAACGTTCAAATGTATGACGATCGATGTGTGTTTGGTAATAGGGTTAATGTGATCACTGATCATAAAAGGAAATGCATCATCCTCCTTAACCATTTTTACGCTACTCAATGGAATCATTTTATAACGGATTAAATTCTCCTCACCACCACCAAGATCATAATTTATTCAAATCGTACGAAATCGAATGAAATATAAAGGTTTAAAGCGCTTCTAACCATTCTTCGATTTTATTCGGCTTCAATGCGTGCTGTTGCCGAATGCCACAGATTGGCTCGAAAATGTATTATTTATCAATCACATGTTGCGAAGAATCTTTCTTGCACCAATCGCTATACATTTGAATTGGTTGATTTTTATTATCACCGTTTCCAAGCAGCTAAGCAGGCAACTGTGTGTCTTAGTGTGAATAACTCATTCACATAAATGACATAATGCGTATTATTTGAATATTTTGAACGGAATTCAATGTTTCCGAAATCTGAATCATTTGTGTGAATAACCTTCGATGAGTGCTGCGACTAAATTCTTGACTCTAGTAACACGTGTGAGAAAACGCGAGCAACTTGAGAAGAAGTGATGAAAGTTGAAGAAAAACTACTGTTTTATCTCTTCGATTTTGTAATCATCTAACGGATCAAGTATTACACATTAAATAGAAGAGAAAAAATCTCAAAGATCACTTAAGTTCTGTTGGAATTTCACTCCAACATTGATTCGATATAGAGAAAAGTCATTTTGTTCAACATCTCAAGTGCATTTCTCTCTATCGTTGTCATTGCATCATACCGGAATTTGGTGTGCAGTGCAACAAGAAATAGAAACATTTGACTTTAGGTTCGGCAACTAGTTTTTTAATAGTCAAAACTCGTCTATACACACACATATATATATACGTATATATAAGTATTAGCCGTAACGTATGGTCGCAAGCGTGTCTCAGCACACACAACCTTGAACTCTAAGTCATACGGCTTTGTTGGATTGAAATCGCGCGCTTTGAATTACTGATATCTTGGTATGGCCATTTTAAAATTCAAATAAAACTTGATTTTTTTTCCTTCTGATTCTTATTGTCTTTTGCCGTACACACTGCGACCAAGATAGATGACATATCGTGGCGTATGGTCAAAAATGCAAGCCGAACACACTCTTCTTTTTTCAAACAATTTGAAGCAACAACAAACAAAAAACAGGCACATTGAGTTGACAGGCACAAAAAAGCAACAACGAAGCAGATCAAAAGAGTAAACAACAATTTTCAATCAGAGATCAAAATCGCTGATCATACAATCAAATTGTTGGAATACATTTAAAAGTTCGACGACAGTAAAACAAGGCGGCGTATTGTTTTTTCTACTTCCTAAACATGTTTCAATTCATGATTGAAGGATATTCCAATGAAATGCTACCTAATGATTCATAATTTGTGTGATAGCAAACACAACGCCTCGTTAGGACAACAGCAAAGACTAAAAAAAAACAACAACAACAATAACACCAAAACGACTAACGGATCGAATTATGCATAGGGAATATTCAGTGTGGATAGAGATGAAGGAGAGAAAAACCCGTGACAAATGTGACCATGTGTTTTATAATACAATCAGTGAGCACACTTTTACCTGCATGCTGCTCAACGCACGATCGCACACAATCAATTGACGCGTTCACCGCACACAATGACAAAGTCGGGGCAAAAATTGATTTTTAATCGGTTTGTAATCGAATAGAAAAGGAAATCCGTACACTTAATCCCAATGTTGCGCTCGTAACCGCCGAATGTGTGAATTCGGTGAGAGGTGTGTTTATTTATTTTTGATTTCAATTGATCGTCACTGCTATTTAAGCATCTCAAGACACATGATTCCATTCAATTATTCATTTCATGAACATTTTGATGATCTTATTAGTATATAAAATGTTTGGAGCGTTTTTTTCTCTCTTGGGTATACATATGTTGATGGTTCAACTAATTTTTTTCATCATTCAAGACTTGTTATCAATTACGAGTGTGTTGAAGAGTTTTTTTTGTTCTTCAAACTTGAGAGCCTGTCAAATTTTGACCATCAACTTGTCCCACAATCACAACCGCCAAGCCTCTCTAACATTTACGCATTATGGCTTTTTATTCGTTCTCTTGCCAATTGCTACCGTTCGTTAACTGTGTACCGTTGATGTACCGCTTCACCTTGTGTGTTTATTGTTCAATTGAAAGTAAATAACAAACTCTGCTAATATTATTAGTTCACTGTGTTGAAATAATAATTTGAAGGGTCGATTGACATGCCACAGCGTTGATATCACCGCGTTGACACATTTTTTATGAGTCTATCTCATGCTTGTCCGTTTACAAGTATCACTTAAAAAAAAGTCGTAAGGTTAAAACTTTAAAACTAAAATACGCGCAACTTGTGAATGCTTCCGGTAAATGGTTAATTTATGTGTATCCAATTGTATTTGTCACTTGCATGCCGAAAGTGCGCGCGAGCGCCCGCGCACATGTTCTCCACCGTTTCGGAATTAAATTAGCATATAATTAGAATCGTGTATTTTACTCACTGTGTAAGAGAAGAAAAAAAAATGGAGAATAAATAACCAATCACAGTGAACAATTGCTCCGAAAAGAAAAACAATGAGGAACAAAATGCACTTCGTGCGACAGAGAATATTATACATGGTTGGTGCGCGTTAAACTGTTGACAAATGCTAATTATATGCATGTGTTGTTCGATCAGAATAAATTGACTGCTAGTTAGACTAATATGCTAATAATGAATTATTGACGACTAATTACATCGTTTTTTTTTTCTTTTTCATTTTCATCTTTCCCATTTTCAGATCCCTGTTTGTACATTATGCGATTCGCTACGAAGTTGGAGTTTGGTGAGAAAACACATGAAGTCTCAATGACGGCCCAGCGTTTGGTGCAACGCATGATGAAAGATTCAATACATTCGGGCCGACGACCATCTGGATTGTGTGGAGCGGCTCTGTTGATAGCAGCCCGTATGCATGATTACAACCGCACTCCGATGGATATCGTGCGAATTGTAAAAATTCACGAATCAACGCTTCGTAAGCGACTGATCGAATTTGGTGACACACCAAGTAGTATGTTGACACTTGATGAATTCATGGCCGTCGATTTGGAAGCCGAACAAGATCCACCAGCATTTAAAGCGGCACGTAAACGAGACAAAGAACGATTACAAAAGCTACCCGAACACGAAGCCGAATTCACCGATCTACAGCGCGAAATTGACAACTATTTGGATCAAGAGCTGAGGCGTGGGTCACGAAAACGAAGGTCCGATTTGTCGGAAAGTGAGGAAACCGATAAATTCATACGAAACTCAACTTTAGATGTGATAAACGAATGCTTGGAAGATAATGTTGATAATCCAAGTGCGGAGAACAAACGTTATAATCGAGGTATTGCACCGGATATTGCTGCGATGTGTGCACCCGTTGTCGATTACAAAAAGAATGACGCCGAAAATGAACAAATCAATCAAACGGACACCGGTGAACTGGATATCGATGGTTTGGATGATGAAGAAATTGACGGTTATATAATGACTGAGGATGAATCAAAGTACAAGGATGAAATGTGGAATAAATTGAATGCAGACTATCTCAGGGAGGCAAAAGCGAAAGAAGAGCGTCTGGCGAAAGAGAAGGAAGAAGGCAAACCGGAGAAGAAAAAACGACGAGTCAGTCGAAAGAAAAATATTGGACCCTCAAACACTGCCAGCGAAGCAATCGAGAAAATGCTACAGGAAAAGAAAATTTCCACCAAAATTAATTATGAGATTCTAAAAACACTGACCGCACCACCATCGACAATAACAGAGACCGAATCAGGTAGTACAATGGAACCGAAGATTGAGAGTCTCAACACACCATCCACCAGCAGCTCGTATCCAAGCACTTTCAAGTCAGTATTTTTATACAGATTTATTCATTCATTTTTTTTATTTCTACAAACATTTTTATTCTATGCATTTTTTTGTTCCTTTCACTATCTGCAGACAACCCAGAAAGAAGCATGAGCCACTACTCAGCAAACATTCAAAATTAAAACCAGCCGGTTTACCAATCGAGGAGCCAAAAACACCAGTGAAAAAACTAGAGATGAGTGAAGATGAAAATGGTACGTGTGTTGGTCGCATTGCCAATTTTGTTTTATGTATTTGAAAAAAAAAATATCATCTTTCAATCTGGAGTTCTTTATTCTGTTAGAATACATCAACTAATTGCCAATGATTAAAACTTATTGAACTGAATCGAATATCAACATCAATTGTATATATTTTCTCTTTTTAATTTAGCTGATGAGGACGATATCGAAGAAGATGTTGGTCCAGATGCAGAGGCAGAAGCAGAACCCATTTCACTGGCATCCATGCTTAATGCCGGCGATGATTACTATGGCTATGACGATGCCTACTAATCACTTGATCTATTTTTTTCCTCAATCGATATTAAAATTTTAAACGTAAACAAAATTGTAACTTATACTGAAGATAAGCCACACATTTTACGTATATAACATTTATTATACATATAGAGTAAGCATATATAAATTTTCCTGTTAATAAGAAACTTTTGTTGAATTGAAGTGTTATCAACTGAATTCGGTTAATAAAATTTAAAATTAACATTGAAAAAAAAGGTTTTTCTTTTAAAAAAAAAATCGCATCAACGAAAATCTAGGAGAAAATGGTTTGAATTCATGCGTTTGCCATTGGTCTGAAGTATGTTACGAATGATTCAATGATTTCGATGCTAATGACAGAGTGGCATGAAGTTGGTTGTGTCGGCCCAATGAATATAGTATCATGTTTCGTGACAGCGCCTCTCACTCTCATTTTTCAATCGGTTTCAATTATCCAAAGCAGTGCGCGGGAGCCAACTTCAGACAAGTATGTTCGGTGCTCTCTCGGTGCTTTTTATATCGAAAAAAAAATGCGTCGCGTTGAGTTGATTTTCTTCCTCTTGTGTTGGAGAGCACAAACAATGAAAACAACATTTTCAAGAATCTAATGCGAGTGTAAACACACATATAGAGGCAGTGCTGAGCGACAGAGCGAGAAACGCAATCCAATTCGTGGAGGCAACACACATCTTAGCGAAAACGAAACCATATTTATTTTTTTTTCATTTTTTGTCTCTTCATTTTCTCTCGATGAACATCATCACGCCAAAACGAAAGGAAAAATACGGAGTGAATTAAAGAGAAAAAAATCCAAACAAAACCAAAGTGCATGAATAAAATAAACAGGATATGTGGTGAGCAAAGAAAAAAAAATATATTAGTGCAACCAAAATAGTGAGCTTATTTCCGTGTATGAGTTTAGTGTGTATGTGACGAAATTAGATTTGTCGATGTGAGCGGACTATCATTTGGCCACAAATCGCCACAAAGAGAGAATAGCAAATAAAACTAAAAGCGAAATGTTTTTGTGAGTCAAGATTTCCTGTAGTAAATCATCGAACCGATACTCAAGTTCAAACTGGCTAAAAAAGATGTCATAAATTCATTTGTGAGAGATAAAAGAGAACCAACACAATTTTTTTTTTACCAACAAATACACATTTTTCACAACATACAAGCGACACACAGAGATAAAGAGAGAGAAATTTGATAGTGACGCGTTGATGGGGTTTTTTTTTCTTCTTCTTCTCTGTTCGCGTGTATGAAACTATTCAATTTCGATTTCGATTGATGTACTTCAACGCAACGATTCTAGTTCGCAAAGCAAAAAAAAAAACGCACACATAAGAAGCAAAACTTTAGAAGGTGAAATAAAAACATCGACAATTGAAACACAAAATAAAATTCATAATCATCGTGGATTGTGTAAACTGGTCATTCGAAAGAAATATTGTGTAAACACGATAGAGAGAGAGACAATCAAATGCTGCATTGCACATTGCGTACCGAGGTCGAAAACTCTGTGACTATTTTCTGTGCGGTGTTTGTGTCCAAGAAAGAGAATTCGGTTGTGTTTTTTTTTCTCGTATGACATAAGACCAAGAAAATATGAAACAGAAGCACAAGTGCATGCGGTACATTTGGTATAAAGAACAAAACAGCACACAATTCCAGCGTTGAACCTTGAGAAGATTTCTAAAGAGGTCTATTAGCTAGAGAGCAGAAAAAAATTAACAATAATAAAAGAGTTTTGATTCGATTTCATTCTATAAACATTTTTTTTTCTGTCTATCGAGCAGCACGCAAATTATGCTGGTAATAATACAAAGAAAAAATCATTGAAAATCCAGAGAAAAAAACGCATTGTTTTTTTTAAACAGCAGCAGTAGCAGTAGCAGCAGCAGTAGCAGCAACGGCAGCTTAGAGAGCTTAGAAGCTAAGAATTTGTATTAACTAAATTACAATGGTTTTTTCGTATGATTCAAATGAAATATTTCACAAGTGATGATGAAACAAAGTGAACGCGCGTGAGTGTCTAGTGACCGAGAACTATGTAAGCAAACGTTTTTGTGTATTCGCAAATTCAGTGCCATTTTTTTTCGTTGTTGTTGTTTCTTACAAAGAGTGAAAGAGAGTAACAAATATCAATTAACGTAACGTGAATAAGGAAAGAAAGAAAGAAAAAAGTACGTAACCACAGTGTTCCTCGATTTGTTACAAAGAAGCAGAAAAAATAATAATAAGAAAAGTATTATAACAAGGAGAAGTCAAAGAAGACAAGAGTCTCAATTCGCGTGTGTGTCTTAGTGTTTCGTTTTTTATTTTATTTTTTTATTTACTCTTGTGTTCCTGTGCCGTTTTCTCGATACACGATTTATATCTGTTGTTACGTATCATTACCGAAAAAAAAATTGTTCATCGTCTTGAAAACAACATAAGCAACAAAAAGAGCATTCAACAGCAACAGCAGCAGCAGAAGAACCACCAACAAGTGCATATACATACAGAATACGCTCCCAGTGAGTGCAACAAGCCAACTGACAAGAAGTTCCGAATTTCAAGTGCAGTGCGCATTGGATCCCATACAACAATCAACAACGGCACACATCAACAATATGGTGAAAGGGTAAGAAATTGAATGGATACAAAAATTAAGAATAAAATTCTGTGCCTACACCAGTCGGTGAACATGCATTTTCGTCCATTGAACATTGTTGATGTTCTTCTCTTTTGCGCTATATCAAAATGATCGACGTGCCTGTATTTGTGCCCCTGTCAGCATAACATTTTGCTTCGGATGTACACTGTACAGCGTCAATACATACAGAAGAGAAAAGAGAAGAAGAAGGAAAAGAAGAAAAAATAATAATAACAACAATAAACAAAGAACCACCAGGCATATATATGCGTTTGCATGGCATGTATACATACAGGGCTTGAAATCCAATCGATAGCTGAAACACCAAAATAAAATGAATGAATGACTAACGACATCCACCTCGATTTGATTAAACATTCCCCGTCGAAAAATACAAGACCCGCCGCCGCTTCATATCTCACACACCGAAATTCCAATGACGAAACAAAAACGAAGCATGTACAAATCAGCAACACATACACACAGATTACTCCGGTGTACAACACAGCACGAAAGAATCAAATGATTTTTCGATGCTGGGTCAAGCGGCCACAATATAATTTACCTATTTTGGTTTTTTCTGTCTGTCGGTTTGTTTCGGATGGCGTTTGTCGTATTTGTGGTTTTTAAGTTTTTTCATTCTTCGTTGAATGCTTGGAGTTGAGCTGAGAAATAAATACCTCTTACCAAATTCTTTGTTGTTTCAGTTTTTATTGTTTCAATTCCGACCGTTCATAAACTCAGGCGACATAGAGAGAGAGAGAGAGAGAGAGAGAGAGAGAGGGAGAGAGAGAGGGAGAGAGAGAGAGGACAGGAAGAGAATGAACAAATAAAGGTTAAGCACCTTTCATCAAGCCGAGCTTTGGGCTCGCTATACGCGCGAGAGTATGTAAACACTGTTCATATGGTCGGACAGCGTCCATATCGTCGTATATATTCATGTTACGCCGTGCTCAATCCCATTCGCCCGTGATTTCGAATAAATTTGCTCGTGGTCGACATTCGCCGAATCAATTAAAAGAGATTGAGATAGAGACAGATACAGAAAGAACAAATGAAAAAAGAATAACAAGCATACATTTTTCGGCATCTATCTGGAATGCGTACCTTGAATTAAGCAGCCTTTAATTGGCAACCCATTTATTGGGATTAAATTTTGATTGTTTTCGCCTTTCTCGCGGCGATTTTTTTTTCTCTCTGAATGTTACATACTATTCAATGTAATAACAAACAACAACAACAACAACGGCAGCAGTAGCAAGCAACCAGCGACGACAACAGCAATTCGATTCGGCTTCGATGTCGACAGAAATATGATGCTTTCTTTATCGAATCTCTGACCTGATCTATCTGTATGTGCAAGCACAAGCTTGTTTGACAAGTATCGCGATTTCGAGACATTATAATGCGATGTTCACACGATGTTGTCACTATTGAAATATTTGTTTTGTACTGTATACAGAGAGTGTGTGAGTATTTTCTGTTTCGTTCGCTTGCTTGCTTTTCTGAAATGTCCATTTGAATGCTTGCATTTGCATTCATTCCATTTTTGTAATGAAGCTGCTGCTGCATTGTTGTTGTCACCGCGACGATTTGACATGCATGAGCTCGTGCATGAATCCATTTCGACATATAAATCAATGTATACCGTGCAATGCAGATAATTTCGATCAGAATTAATCAGTGCGTACAAGTTACACCAACTTACACACAAGTAGATCGATGCTTATGATCCATTGCTGTTGCCATTACCATCATATTTTTTTAATCCGTTCGATTTGTGCTCAAGCAAATACTCTAATGATGTGGGCATCCAATGAAAAAAAGGAAAAAAACACCAATAACTAAACTTATCCACACACAAATCTCAATGATCAGCCCTGAATGAAGAGCCCGCGAAAAATGCAACATGACATCACAAATCTTATGCATACATCCCATCTTTAAAATCAGTTCACATGTTTGAGACACAGAATGCTCGTTCATTCGTTCGTTCGTTCGCATATTTCACAACAGATGTATCAATGTTAGCTGAAAAAAAAACTTCTTGGGTATATATGTGTGTCTGTGAGTCTGTGCTGTGTGATTTCATTTCATATGCTGCCATTCATGACTCGGGAAGTGAAGTTTGAATTGAAATCCGTACGTGTTATATCCCCATGCATAATTTGTGGTGTGCGTGCAGTTTGTGTTATGAATCGACTTTTGATTTAGCCATTGATCATTTGAATGTGGCACCATTTGCCAGGGAAAAAAAATAGAATCAAATGTAAAAGTTGGCATCGTTTCTTGTGTCGCCATCGCTATCGCCCGAAAAACGCAAATATTTGCTCAGTGAAATCACGCATCATCTCGATGCATCATACGTATCATAATATTTCTCAACCGAAAGCGAAAAACTGAACAAATGAGCGAAGAGGAAGAAAGAATAAAACACACGGAGAGAAAACGAGTGCCTGCTACATTTCTCAGCTTGCTCTCTCTCTCTCTCTCTCTCTCTCTCTCTCTTTCTCTCTCTGACTCTCTCTCTCTCGATGGATCATTTTACAAAAATGAGACATTTCTATTGCGACAAAAACCGAATCTCTCACATCACTCAGATTTGAAACTGTGTCAGTCAGAGTGCGAGAGACGACGACGACCGACGACACATACACAACATCTTTGTATGTTTTTGCCCATAATGGAGTTTCAATATTTTATTTTTGGTTCATTCATTGGGTCTGTACGCCTTCGCCTAGAGTGCAACATTTATGCCATCAAAACTGTACATTGTTTTACATTCACCGCATAACGCATTTGTGCAAATGCTTTGTGAGGTTGCGACACGAACACACACACACACAGCGAGAGCATTCTCTTAATTTGCTTTAATATGCTTCACATTCAGCATTAATCAGTGCCGGTCCATGCCATTTCGATTGGTTAGTCTATAACTTCTTTCGTTTAAATCTCAAAACATTTTCATAAATCCATTAAATTATTTATGGAACACCATCCATTCGACTGTTATTGACTAACTTCTCTGCAGATATCCATGCATATATCTTATTAAAACTCTCGCCGTTTTGTTAATCACATCTATAAAATCTACTATTTATAGACAAGAGAGCTGGACGACGACAACGACAACTCGGCGAGAGTGAAGATGAAGCAAGGGAAAAAAGTGAAAATATTTCATGGATTTATACCCATACATTTCTCTCTTTTGAAAATTGAAAATGAGAACACTAAAAACGGCTTTTTTAGGTCAAAGAATTCGACGCAGCGAAAACAATTCGCTGAAAAATGACGAAAATCGGTATTATTTACCTCCTTCTTCTCCATTCGTGAACTCTTCACCATGCTGCACCACTATAATCGCGCGTTTTTTTTTATTTCGTGCTTCTTCTTCTTACTCTTTCTCTTGCTTTTTGTCACTTATTTATTGACGTCGCATGCTCAAGGAAAACAGACGAAAAAAAAATTCTTTCCAATAAAATCAAGCGATTTCATGCTTGGTCATAGTTTTCTCCAATTTGGCAAACCAAATGTCTCTCACTCGCTCCATCGAGTGCTTCGTTGTGTGTGTGTGTGTGTGTTAGTGTCTTTGTGCACTCACAATATTTTGTGTGTCGCATTAAAATGCTATTTAACTTTCGGCTATATATCAACGTAGAAACCTTACGGGCTCTAGCCATTAGACAATTTCGTAATGGTTTGTTTGTGTTTTTTTTTACTTTTTCTTCTTCTATCGTCTATCTGTAGCAATAATATAACATACGGAAAAATGGAGTGTTACGACATTTCATAACAGCGAATAATGCTTGTACTTGTGTTCCATTTGTTTGGGTTAAATATTGTCACATTTGAAGGAAAGTAAGGCGCGCGCGCCCGCTCGCTCGCTAGCTTTTACCAATCACTCGTAAGCGAACGAACGCGCTTGTGACACCCGAGTACATCAATTCGAATGCATATATACTAAGTACACTTTCAAATGAACAAAGAAAAACCAAATAGAAAGAAACCCATCGCGCACGGTGTGTGTGTGTGTGTGTTTGAAATTTGCCCGAAAATCAACTTCGAACAATATCTTCATCAGTCATACCGTACGCGGATGCATACAAAGTACAATATAAAATACGCAGCGGGAAATATCGAGGCGTGAACGAAAAACTGTATTAAAAGAGCAATGACGTACGGAATGAATCATCAAATCTTCTGACATTTTAAATTATGAGCGCTTGGATCATTTTTTTTTCTTTTCGTCTCTCTCTCTCTCTCTTTCTACCTCTCCCGTCTTCTTCCTTCTTTCAAATCTATAAATCATTTCTTGTTGTTTTTATTTTATGTTATTGTTGCTTTGACTCCTCTTAACCAACTACACCTTTGACATATCAAGCAAACCGCTTTCGACATTTCAAATCTACACGGCAATAGAATGCGGCCGAATGCCATTGGCTTCTTTTTTATTTGATATTATTTCTTTCTCGGTTTTATTAAGACGAACGCAAATAACGAACAACTGAACCAATGAACAAAATTATGTATCGCTTTCGAATGAGGAACAACCAAGTACTAATAAATATATCCAAATAAATATTTATGGCCATTGATTGTTTCGACGAATGTATCGTTGCTGTGTGCACGCAATAACACTTTTAATCTACAATTAGACCGATTCAATTGGACTGCCATCAATTGGGCCAATGTGTGATTATGAAGAGAAGAAGAAGAAGAAAACGCACATACAATCACACAAATATTACGCTCTAATCATATTTTAACCAACTTTGTTGAATAATCGTGCTGGCTATGCAACTTCTATCCGCAAGTAATAGGAGAAGTGTGTGTGTGTGTGTGCTTGCTTGCTTGCCTGTCGGAGAGTGATTGTTTTGCGTTAAAAGAAAACGACCAAACCAATCGTACCAGTTATGTAACAACAAATTGAATGGATATAATTGTATTATTGTTTAATTCAGTTAGTATATTTTTTGTGTGTTAGCTGGGTTCACTTTGGCACGGATCGCCTCATGTTGCGACGACTTCGACTTCTTCATGAGTTCCTATATATTTGAATCAAATATTCAAATGGTTTGTTCTCGTTGTGTTGTATGTGTTGAAATCGAATGGAACCGTGTCCAAAACAAAAAAAAATGGTCAGAAATAATGATTGTGTTCACGTTGAACGTGAGTCAATGTCTCATTTTCCACGCCATTAATTCAAACTGAAATTAATTATTCGAATTATACGTTTGTTTCATTGGCAATGAATGAACTCTCTCAATTTTACAAACAAACAAACAAACAAACCAAGCCAATGTCAGAGTTGAAAGCCAAACGACGTTGTTCCAACGCGAAACAAAAGAATAAATAGCAAACCGAAAAAGCAAAGCAAAACAAAACCCAAACCTCATCGAAAAGATCGTTTAACTCAATTTTTCAAGAAGTACCAAAATGTTAACGCTCTCCCGCTCAACGAAAAAAAAAAACCGAAAAACATATCATTTGCATTTTATACCAAAATTGTATTTAATAAACTGCCATTGTTTTCGATACACATATAACTGCCAATTTCGAGCATTTTTCATGCATATCTCTCGGTTTGTTTGTTAGTTTTGCTCGCTCGCTGTGTGTGTCCGCTTGTTTTTTCCATCTATTTCTTGGCTATACGGTGAAATTGTTTTCATTTCTTTGGTTCGGTCGTTGTTGTAAAGCGATCCTTTCATTTTTGGAATGTCTATAAAGTGTTGAGTGTGGTTTTGTGTATGTGATTTCATTGCTGGTAAACGGTGATTTTCATCCATGATGAATGCGCTTCACGTGTGGGTACACCGAATTCCCATTTCAACCGACGATTATTGCTAATAGAAAAAAAAACACAGAAGAAAAATAAAAGAGTTATAAACTGAAAGAGAGACGACAAATCAATTCGACGTTGGTCTCTTTGCTTTAACGCTCTGCTTGGCTTCATTGTTCGTTCGTTCAATCACTTGCTTACTCTGTCTCACTTGCTCCGAATTTCTCACGAATGACAAACAACCAAAAGGAGGGGAATATCACGCTTAAATTATTTCAAATATTTCAAAAAAATCCAATTTATCTCTAAGAATCTGTCGTATGAAATATGGTGGATATTTGTGAATACGGCGGAGTATTGTGGATTTCTGTGATTATGAAGATATTTAAGTGTATTTATTCGGATTTAATGCAAAAAATCTCAAATATCTCCAAAATCCACAAAAATCTGATTTATTTATTTGAAATAATCGAAAATATGTCATACAACTAATGTTTATTTCAAATATCTCAAATATCTCACAAGATTCAGGAGCGTGATATTCCCCTAGTCAAAAGGAATTGTTCGAATAAATGAAATGATTTTTTTTCTTTTTTCGGAAATGATCATGTTAATGTGACGCGTTATTTGTGCGGCACACACACACATACACCCATAATGTGGCAAAGCCAGTCGACAAACATCAAAAGAATAAATCGCTTCATCGCAATTAATGCGTAGGCTGAAGTGTTCATTGCTCTGGCTGCTGCTATTCATTGGCTAGTTTAAAGACCTGAGCAACTAAATACGCATATGAATGTATATCTAGCGAACAGCTATCAAAACAACTCACTTCACGTATGCCATATGATCATGGGTGAGTACGTATTAAAATCGAAGTAAATGCATTCAATTTGAAATGGGAAATCAAACAAAACGTCAATTGGTAGCTGAATTTTATGGCTTTCGATAAAATACTGACAAACTATTATAGCCCACATAAAAAAAAGAGAGAGAAAATTTGTAGTGCAAAGCGCGTTGCCACTTGCCAGTTTGTCGTTATTATTGCCTAAGTAGATCAGATAAGATCCGTGCTGCCCGTCGTCGTGTCAAACTGAACCGATTTTCTATTGAGGAATCAATTGAGTGGCTTTTTCTTAGAACAAAGGTTGATTTGCTTTCCTTTTTCGCGCGTTATCAAATGCTCTTTCGACGATTGTCATACATATACATACATGGAATTAATCTCAGCTGACAGCTAAATGGTTATGCGCCATGAAATTAAGTTGATAAAAAAAAAGAAATGCAAACAACAACAACAGCAACGAAAACAAAGCAGCTGCAGCAACAGTCAACATACGTACACACAAAATGTATGAAGTTATCTCGGTACAAGTAAACATGGAATTGTGTGTGATGATTGGTGATGATTATCAAGGTTTTGGGGCTACGACCGTTACAATTACAATATGTACTTGCACTTTGCAATCACGTCACAACACTCGATGAAATGTACACGAAATATAGCAAGAGCAACAACAACAACAAAAACAACGAAAATGAAGAACAATAAACATAACGTGAATTACGCATTAAAATAACAATTCTTTTTATATCGCACCGACGACAACAGCGGCGGCGGCGGCAGCGTCAACGACGACGACATGCACATCAAGAGAATCATACAAATCAAGTGTATACATATATTTAAGCAATTAGAATACAATAAACGATTCCAGTTTTCTCGCTTGATGTTTGCTGTGGTCGTTGCGATGACGTTGCTTTTGTTGTTGTTCTCCGCTCGTTTTTTTTCTTCTTAAATGCATTTCATAATTATAAATATTCCGCATACAAGTGCTGGAAAAAAAAGAAGAAATATGACATATTCATTTTGGTATTCCACGTACGCGATTTGAATGATAGGATTTTTTCTTTTTTATCGCACACTTCTGCGCAGCAACAGCCGAACTGAACTACATTAAGTGTATATGATGTTCGTATTATAAATGTCATTATTTTTCCTTCTCGGTCTGTCATTTTACACAAACATTTGTTCTGTTTGCTCCATGCCAGGGACAAAGAGAATTCTAACAAATGCCATGGTACTGCCAATGCCGAGAAAGAATCAGCTAGTATATTGTTCACAGCAATAACCACAATCAAAGTACTTTGTAATAAATGGCGATAAGATTGATCTCTCTCACTTTGTGTTGATGTGCGAGAGAGCAAAACACACACACGCACACAAATCAAGGCGATTCAAACAAAAGCAAATCCAACCAAACATGGAAAAAGGCAGCAAGAGTGACAAAGAAGTGAAGTCCAAAGCCAAAGAAAGCAAAACTATATGCATATATCCATTCTTTCGTATTTAAATTATTCAGTTTGGGGGGATTTGGATTGCATGCACTTTGAATATTAACATCGTTCGTGTGTCGTTTCCAGCAATGCCAGCATTTTGTTTTATCGGTATTGTAAATGATCCCACATTTGATGCAACGATTGCAAATTTACGATCTCAAAATGAAGCAATCAAAACCAAAGAGCACACACATCTCCTCGCCAAATATACATAACACACGAATATATTCGAACAAACAAACAAAGAAACCAAGAAACACCAATCCGATTCTTTTCCCCAAATCAAATACACAAACACCGTTTCCATATATCGAAAAAAGCCATTCTGCCTAAAAGCGTTTCAGTTACATTTTAATCGAACGTTTTGTGTATTTTTAGTTCTCGTGTCTGCGTATTAAAGTTGCTGTTGCAGCATCGATGTTGTTTTTCTCATGCAAATTCAATTTTAAAATTGCTCCCACAATTTTTCTTATAATTTGTGTGTCGGAGAGCAAATAACTTGAATCCAATGCTGTGCAGCAGCACTGAATTGAAATCCACAACAAATGGATTCAAGAACGCGCTCTTGAGATGTGGAATAGAGAAAAAAAATGTAAAACTGAATTTGAACCAACAACAACAGAGAAGACAGCAGCAGCAATATCAAAAACAACGGCAGAGAATAAAAACGCACACTTTGTGCTTGAATCATCGTAGTTGGATAATTGTAGACCACTAACTTGGAATCTTTCTCTGTCGGCTTTAGCATTCAGCACGATGCTGATGCTTTAGCATTATTATTATTTAAACCCCTTGTTCAATGGCGACGAACTGATGATGAAATCGTATAATGGTCGCATTTGTATTCATTTATCTATTATGTTTTGTGGAGCTGGGACATGAGGAATTCACATATCTGAATAGAGTGCACATTTTTTGACTAGCAAAACCCAGCTGCTGCTGCTGCGTGAGTGTGAGCTAAACATCGTGCAATACACACAGAGAAAAGTACAAACAGCTGCAATAGCAATACCAACAACAACAACAGAAGAGACGAGAGAGAAAGAGAGAGAGAGAGAGAGAGAGAGAGAAAGACGAAAAAAAGCCAAAGCGAAACGCATAAAATGCATGTTACTGTAATGAGAATCATAAGTTCTTGTCGATTCATGGTGCCACGTTTTAGTTTATTAAGTTACATAAAAGAGGAAAAAGCGCTCGAAATTAATACAACAATGAATGGTTCGAATGAATGGCACGAAAAAAAAGCAAAACAGAGAAGAAAAAGTAGAAAAAATAAATTTTCACAGAATACAGCAACAACAAAAACACAAAATATTCGAATAGCGATTGTATAGAAAAACGCCAGTGGAAAATACAGAAACATGTTGCTTCTTCGTTCACGCAACAAGCTAAACCATTACGGTAGTTGGGCATTGTAGTTATGTCGAAATCGACTTGATCACAGATATCAACAATCAAACAAATCACCAGATCCCCTCAGTCTGGCAACATCTTCGATGCGATTTTCGGTCAATTGATTTCTTTTTCACTTTGTCTGCTTCTCTTCTACTCACGAGACGATGAAGAAAAAGAAGCAACCGCAGCAATAAGAGAAAAAACGCACACTTCATTTTACACTGTCACCGTGTGAGGTTTGAATGTTTGTTAATCGTTTATCCGTGGATTTAATTGCATCGATAACGTTTTACATACTACTTTGATCTTGATACTATCCACACACACACACACACACACACACACACACACACACACAAATATCCAACTGTGTGTATGCAGTTGTCATAGGATTTACACGGTAAGATCGCGCCATTCCATCGTCATATACACACCGACACCAAATCCACCATCGTATCCTTCAACTACTTACTCAAACAAAATGAAAAATGAAAAAAATATATCAAACCATCGTTACCCAAGGCCGCAACCGGATATATACGGTTGGAAAAGGTGCGCGCTTTGCAATAGAAAATCGATTTCTTTAAATAATTACAGGAGGACAACGGTATTCAAGTATATCGAATCACATTGAAAACATTGGTTTTCCAACCATAATTTAATTAATCGGTGCAGCCAAAAACCAGTTCTAATAACCATCGTCAATCATATTCATTGTGCCTGTGGTGTTTTGATGTCACATTCTTTGTTCGGATGTTTCGAAACAGTTTTCGTATCATGCAATCAAGAACCAACCAACCAACCATATTCACTTAGCGCCGAACTGAAATTGAAATGAAAAAAAAGGATTGCTCAAAAATAGCAATTACTTGCCCACGGATAATAATACCATTTGATTGCAATTAGCATCGGATATTTTCCTCTCTTTTTTTTCGCTCGGCATGCCCGATACATGTGCAGCCAAACCGAAAATAAACAAATCACTCGCAAGTGAATAAGTCAAAGAAAAAGGGAAAATACAAAATTAAACCCGTTGCAAAAACAAAAAGCGGAGAAAATGAAGAGAGCCAACAAGCGAGCGAGAAAGCGAAAAAGACTGTGGAAACACAGCAACGAAACAAAAACTGTGATTAGAATTGAATGAAGTGGCACGATATAGGCAGGCAGTGGTGGTTTTGTCGATTGGTTCGTGTTTGACGGTAAACACGATGAATTAATAACACGTCCCGTGTGTTGCATGCTGCTCCTTATTCTCTTGATCTGTGGGAACGAATGCATTTATGTATATGACTCGTTACGAATGCGAAACGTTTCGCATGGAGGCAACGGCTATAACAAAAGCACCAAATCAACACTAACTCAGAAAATATGCTTCTAACAACGTGAACTGCCGCCACCACCACCGTCGCCGTTGCCGCTCACATCGGCCAAAAACATATTCACAAACTAAAATGATTGTTGATTCAAACGGAAACGGTTTTCAATGGAAAATCGTACACAGTGAAAAACGGGACGTGGCTTGGTTCCTTTTCCTCTTTGTATGACGCTCGTTCCCTCTCTTTCTCCCGATTCGCGTTCGCATTGCACTCTCGGTGAATTGGACGCGAATGGACTAATTGTGTCTCTGGAGAGTCTCATGTTGAGATTGTGACTCAATTATAAATTTCGATGTGCTTCCATTTCAATTGAACCATCGATCAAGTTATTTTATCGACTTTGAGAATCGTTCAATTGTGTTTGTAACCAATATCAAATCGGATTTTGGAAAATGTCGAAAATTTGCCAAACACAATTGCTAAACAAGCAGCATTATTTAAACTAAACACATACACAAACTCACACATTCTATCGACTGATATGATGAGCAATAATGAATTTAATCTAATGCATGTGGCTCATCGAATATGTTTCAATTACGCCAATGGATTATTAATGTGACAGTGCCAGTTCAATAATCAATTCACATTCCGGCCCCAAAATAATTATCGTGTAATGTGCATGTGTATGAGGAAGAGGTTCGGTCTCTGGCGTCATTGAAATAAATAATAATCGTTGTCCAAACACGATGAGCGTTTTGTTCAAAATCCCGCTTTCAATATTGAATTGCGAATATTTTGAGTGTTATAATCAATTCATTATTATATAACTAAAAATATCGAAATGAAGATGAATTCTATGGTATTTCATTGAATCTATTATTAACCTTCGATCTTTTCAAACAGATGCTTCGATTTTAACGAGATGGAGCGAGAGAGAGAGAGAAACATTATATGCTCTTTTCAGATTTAGAGGCAACATGTATTGAGGATGAAATCGAAGATTTGTTCTTGAAAAACCAATTGAATTGTTGAGTGGTTGAGCTAAGCTGAAAAATTTATAGATTTTTTTTCTCTCGAAATTCAATTATATGAGATTTGGTTGGGGTCAAATCACATGAAAAAAGTTTTGCTCTCAACCAATAACGAAACGAATGGCCAAAAAATGCTCTCGAGAACTGGATGAACGAAAGCCAGTGTTTCAATTATTTTAATGCCTTTCGTATTTCCAATACAGTGAACTGTTTGTAATGGCCGCATTTCATTCGATTGTTGTTTTCTTCTGCTTTTTTCTCGTGTCATTTCGAAAGAATGTAGACAATTGAAAAAAAAAACAAGATAGAGAGAGATAGAGAGAGAGAGAGAAAGATTGACAAACGGGCCAAATCTATTTATTTATTTCTTGAACGGAATACAAATTAAATTTTTATTTCGGTTTTTGACTGTAAAACGGCGTCGTCTTTCATTGCTCAAACGCCGAGCATTTCTTTTTTCCAGTAAAGACTGAATTATATTGATAGATAAAAGCTGTTGGAACATTGAATGTCCAATTCAAATCGGTTGACACAGTCAAAGAGAAGAAGTATACGATGTGCCGTCATAAATAACGACCGCTGTCAAATGTATTTACGACTGCGTAATGCGTATAGAACTAGAATTCACACCAGGTTACAATCGATTATTTGAAGAAAATGCGTTCTACTGATGAACGAACTGGAATGACCAGGTTGTAAACGAAGACAAACAAACATATGAATAGATAGAACAACAACAATTCGAAAAATGAAGGCGCGATGCAACATCGCCCAACATTCCAAGCATTCTATGAAGTCGAAATGAAAAGTAAAATGCAAAGAAGGCAAATTGCTCGTACGTTGTGGGCACATTTCTAGAGCCTAGGAAGAATTTAAATGGGAGATCTAACACACACACACACGCAGAGAGAGAGAGAGAGAGAGAGAGAGAGAGAGAGAGAGAGAGAGAGA